GACATAGATTGATTGTACGACGGCGAGTGTTGGCTTATTGGACCAGTGGGGAATTGAAAAATTATACGGATGAGAATGTAGGAATTTGAGAATATAGTCCCTAAACCCGATGTTTTAAATCTCAAATTTGAATTTAGATCATAAGAAATAATATCCCAAATTTGAATTTTTCATGACTTGCACATCAGTTAGAATTCTTCAATTATTTTAACAAGGAATTTCTTCTAAAACTGGTCCAAGTGTTTCTTCTAAAATTGGTCCAAGTTTTTCTCTCTATTCCAAACTCTTCTTTAAGTCCAATACCAATTTTCAACTTCCAATAAGCATTCAAAATAGAATTTCAATTTGACATAGGAAATAATAACCCAAATTTGAATTTTTCATGACGTGCACTTCAATTAGAATTCTTCAATTACTTCAACAAGGAATTCGGGTCATACCCAAATTCTAACACTGTGATTCACATGGGAATGCAAATATGCCTCCAGGATAAAATGAAGAATTTTAGTGTTGTCTGTGTTGTGCATCCACGAAGATAACCCGGACATCGAAGAATTTGAAATCTTTATCGGAGTTTGTACTTTATCTCTGCAGTATGATCACGAAGTACAAACCATATTTAAGAAGATATGAATACACGAAAGTTGGTATTTTGGATGTTAAAAAGTATAGAAAATTGTAGAGTGCAAACTGATTTCAATTTCATGTATATTACTGCCAAGCAGTGTGCTGCCCAGCACAGGCAGCGCACCTGTGCCAACTAGGCAGCACAGGAGCACTTCCATGTTGCCCACCTGCAATAGTTTGTGTTGCAAACTGGCTCAAGTTTTGGTTCATTCCTTCGTCTCTCGTTCTTGTCCCATCTTGATCCAGTGCTTCCTGAATTGTATTTCCTTGATTTAATCTACCAATGTCTAAACGACATTCTTTTGAAAATTACTCCAACAAAAGGTTAGGGGCAGTGGCAGTAATTTACCCATTTATGTACGCGTAACTTGTCTTCTTTGGTCACTGCAGCATTCTAAGAGATAACAATCTCACTGGTGAGTTGCCGACTGAATTAAATAATCTAAAAACGTTGACAGAACTGTAAGTATTTTACCACACATTTCTCAAAGTATAAAGTTTTTTAATCTGAAATAGTGCAAACAGTTTTCTGCTATTTTAATGATAACATGTCTTTCTTGGGGCAATGCAGTAGGATAAGCAGTAACAACTTCACTGGAAA